GAGGTGAGACAACCTGGGACAGTCCGCTTCCTCTCAACGTCCAGGCTACATGTCTTTGTGTTTGTCAGTAACTGGACTGTGTGTGTTCTGCTTCCAGAGGGAAAGACCGACTTCTTTGCTCGCAAGCGCCTGGTCGTTCAAGATAAGAACAAGTACAACACACCCAAGTACCGGATGATTGTTCGCTTCTCAAACAGGGACATCGTCTGCCAGGTGAACATCAGCCGAGATTCTCCTACATCTGCCAGCATATGTGGATGTTTGAATGCATCATTCTGATTTAGGTGTAGTAAGTAGGTCATACCTGCTATTAAGAAGCTCCTCAGCGTAGGCATAAGTATGATCAATAGAAACTGTCCTGTGCAGATCAGTATCAGTGTTTAGTCCATGTCCACGGATCTAAATGTGTGAGCTCATGACTCCTTGTGATTGTGTTGCAGATTGCCTATGCCAAGATTGAGGGTGACATGATCGTGTGTGCCGCCTACTCACACGAGCTGCCAAAATACGGGGTGTCCGTGGGCCTGACAAACTACGCCGCAGCCTACTGCACTGGACTGCTGGTGGCCCGCAGAGTATGCTTAATTTTGGCTCTATTTGTATTGACTCTGAGAGTTCATGGCGAATGTCCTTTTTGTTTTTACCTTTTCAAGATAAGTAGTCAGGTAAAGGTTGTAGAAGCTAGTCAACCGAATGTCCAATTTTTCTGTCCTCAGCTGCTGAACAAATTTGGCTTGGATAAGGTGTATGAAGGCCAGGTGGAGGTGACAGGTGACGAGTTTAACGTGGAGAGCATTGATGGTCAGCCAGGCGCTTTCACCTGCTACCTGGATGCTGGGCTTGCCAGAACCACCACGGGCAACAAGGTGTTCGGTGCTCTGAAGGGGGCTGTGGATGGAGGCCTTTCTATCCCACACAGGTAACCTTGTACCCACCCTCGACTTCAAAGCAGGCCATGTGTGATAATGTTTTAATGCAAAAGTCAGTCAATTCATTTTTTTTTTTTTTCCCTTTCAACATGTTGAAGTGTCAGACTCGTTTAACAATTTCTGACACTGTCAGCCTTACCTCAGATCTTTTTTATGAATAACATGGCATGCCACTATAGGATAACAGATCAAATGATTAACATATGATGGTATGATTCTATTCAGGACATCATATTAGCACTACCACCTTAATTTCCCATTTTATGATGAGAATGTTTTCTCTGTAAAGGACCCATTCATGGGAACATTCTTTACTTAGTTTCATGTTTTCGATTACACCGGAACAGGCCGATCTTAAGTCATATTGTTATGTTAGAATTTAAGAGTCTGGATATCTAACCCCAGATCAGACACAATTTTGAAATTGTATTGGGGTTCGGTTGTGTTGCCTGGGCCATCCCCATCAATTTACACTGCAGATGCCTCTAATCAGGAAGAACATCCTATTTGGGTTTGTCTAGGATGCATGTGGCTATATTTGTTTTGGTGGTAAAAAGAATATAGCTGCATATGAAGAACCACCTACTCGGCCATCTGTTCTGTTCATCTGTGAGAGCGATGACTGTACATAAAGGCATGTGCCGAGGCCGCTCTGTCTGATACTGGACGTTTCAGTTTGTCAGCCTGCTGGTTTGCATGAAATATCTTAATGTGGCTTTAAGAAATCACCTTAAATAGAAGAAGCAGGTGTTTATCAGTAGCTTTATACCTCTTCAAAAAACACATGGGTCATAGCAACAAAGGGCCCGTTTGGATGGTCAAATGTGACGTCTAATCCTGAGAAGAGGTCGGAATTTCTTTTTTTTGAAGCACCGCGATGCAGACGTGGACAACTCTTTATTGATGAAGAGACAGAATGTAATCAATTATTAGTTTCCGCTACATTCATTTGTTCAGCTACGTCCCGTTGCTGTATAATCATAAGCACTGCTTCCTCTAAAATCAGGGCAGAACCACAATAATAGTCTGGTCGTCTTTTACCATGTCAGTCTCCTGTCTGAGTGTCCTCCCTCCACTCTTGCTCTGACCTGCGCTCACTTTACACTTTGACAATAAACACAGACTCTAATCAACACCGTGCACATGTACTTCATCTGCCAGACATGAGATGCGCACAGCCAGGCATATCAGTGTTTAAGTGACTGAAGTGATCCGGACTCATGATCTGACTCCATCGATTAATAACTTAATACATGTGGTTATTAATTTGTGTGAGAGACAGACGGACAGACACGCTGCAGAGTACTTCCTGTAGAATGTAGTTGTCAGTTTTTTTCAACTTAATTGTTGCAGAAGAAGTGATGCCCTGCTTATCCAGGAACATAATTATGAATTCAGCAGGATTTTATGAAGATCAGCATTAAGTGTGAGTGATTAGAAAAGAGCAGATGAGCAGAATGTCTTGTTGACCTGCAGGGTACTGCACCTTGATGCTGCCAAGGGCTCAAGGCAGAGCTACCCTGATACAGTGAAGGCTAAAGATGCAGCACACAAGTCTGAACTGAATGAATATCAAATCAATGTGGAGAGCACTGACCGCTGTTAAACACTCCTAGTTCAGTAGCTTTGCATCATGTGTCTTCAAATAGGAACGATTTAGTAAGTAACAAACACTACATCAACTGCATTCTCAGACTGGAAGAGTTTTAACACGAGGCTGACGGTCAAGCTTGTCACTTTTGAATGATACAAGCTATTATTAAAATGTCTCATCAGGTATAAGGGCTGTACATTTATCAGCTCTTTAGATGTCCTGTCAGTTAGCCGATGAGCTTGATTAAAATAAAAATATGTAAAGCTTGCATATTCCACATGTACCATTACCTACGTGTGCATACACGGATGTTTTATCCACAGTGGTGACAAAAGACTTTTAGAGTAAACCCTATGAGGAAATGTGGTCATAAGTTCATGCGGTTGTATTGATGGATGTACTTTTGTGAACTGTACACTAGTTTGATCCATTTAGCAGTTACGTTTTTTAGTAGCTGCGGTTTTATACCCAGCAGTAAAATGTGGTCTAGAGTAGATTGGGCTGCATACTCGTCAGGGTAGTCTCACTCAAATGGTTACTCTTGTATTTTGTTCCTAGTGGATTAAAATAATTTTTGTAGATTTTATTTGTGAGAAAGAAATGTGAAAACAGCAGCTGAATGACACCCTTTCCAAATACCAAATCTAGTCACGGTTTGGACAGCGTACATTTACATACTAATGTTGTGACCCAATTGAGGAGTTTCTGCTTTGAGTTGAAATATATTAATGTTTTAAATGAACCAAGATAAGCTTTACCTCATATCTGCAACTTGTTTGTCTTCCAGCACCAAACGCTTCCCTGGATATGATACAGAGAGCAAGGAGTTCAATGCTGAGGTCCATCGCAAGCACATCATGGGCATCAACGTGTCAGAGTACATGAGCTACTTGATGGAGGAAGACGAGGATGCTTACAAGAAGCAATTCTCTCGCTTCATCAAGAATGGAGTCACCCCTGATTCGGCAAGTCCCCTTTATGCATTATTAAATAACCTTTCCACTCTGTTGCATTATACAAATATGTATGGTGTTCTTGTGTTGGTGTTTTTAGTCTCGGCCATTTAAAGGGTTGGTGTAATATCCATGCAGCAGCCATGACTCCTGGAGTTTTCTCATGTCCGAGTCGTTTGCCTCCAGTTAACATTGTACCTCATGTGCCAAGAGAGTTTGACCATCAAAGTGGTCAGCAGTGATTCCTCAGGAGAAAGATCCCAGGGCCACGATACGCTGATTGTATCTTTTGATACAGGAAAGAGGGGAAATATTGGCAGTTAGATTTTTTGGATAAATGAGTTAATTGGGTCATGGCACCCGTTCAAGTTATTAACATTATAACCACAGTAACTGTTTATCGATAAGTGCATTGTAATACAGAATGAGGCTAGTTTCTTAAATGCAGATGTGTAGAGATGCAGTTCTGATCTTGTCTCGTACACCCGACATGACTCCTATTGGCTAGTCACTTAATTGAAAAATCTGTTGATCATTCTTTCAGTAATCTGCTTCATTAATAAAATTGAAGGCAGTGTTTGCCTTTCAACATTTTTCTCAGATGAGATTTATGTTGGTGCCTTTTTCAGACATTTAATCAAGAGAATTGGCTATGGAGTTTCCCCCCAGTTTGCCTTTCACACATGTGCAATGCAGCGGGAGCTTCTCTGCACAGACGCGTTCACTACAGCAACAATCCTCATTATTCAGACGAGAGGCAGAGGAGCAGACAGAGGCAGGAACACACACTGGTGTCTGCTCTTATCACCACAAAATCTCTTGACATCTTAGGTGTCTTCTACACGTCACCACTTTTTCTTCATATATGTGTCTGCCGTCTGTTAGAAGCATCATTAACACCCCACAGGTTCTCTGGGAATCCAGCAGGGATCCCCTGCTGTGCTCACACATCCTATTTGGGCGTAGTGATTCATTGCATACGTTTATACCTATAAAAAAATCAACAAATCTAATGCAGCTGTAAAAAATAAATTGCACAGAGATGAGATGTGAAGTAATATTTGACTGTTGGGGGTTTTCATCTTTCAGATTGAGGAAATGTACAAAAAGGCTCATGCTACCATTCGGGACAACCCTGTCCATGAAAAGAAGCCCCCCAAAGAAATCAAGAAGAAGAGGTGATATTAAAATCTCAATATGTTAATGTCATTTCTGAAGGTCTATTCTGAATAAATGCTCATTTTGGTTGTTGTGACTGGTGTTAATACAACTTTGAAGCTAGCTCAGTTTCACACCCAACTGGAATGATACTTAATATAAAACCCCAAATGGTAACTGTGCACGTTTTCTGTGACCTAGGTGGAACCGTGCCAAGCTGTCTCTGGCCCAGAGGAAAGACCGCGTCGCCCAGAAGAAGGCCAGCTTCCTCCGGGCTCAGGAACAAGAGGATGCAGACTAAGGCACCAGTCTGTAGGGGTCCTAATGCAGAAGTTTGTCGAATTAAATTTTTTGAAAAGCGTCGGCTCTCTTGTGTACTTTGTCAAATTGTACCTATGTATCCTCTTCCTTCATGATCCTCAGGGTATTATGGTATAGCTAAATTATTCAATAGCACTGTGGCTAACGGGCTGATTGGACAGTGATAAAAAGTATCTGTATGTTTGGGTCATGCAATGAAGGCTGATTGGTTCTGCAAAGTCAGCATGACTGTTTCACACAAGTTGTCACTTGTCTATAGAATCTGTTGTGCCGACTGTGACTTGGTAATGGGGAAAAATAGAACAACCCAGATAAGATACTGCTCTGCTCAATTTAGACTTCACTGACAAAGCTGAAGTAAGCACTTACAGTTCGTGCACATGATTCTTAGTCAAGTTTATTTATCAGTCACGATTTTGAAAAACCACTTATCATTTTGCTCCAGTGCGTCAAAGTTTCCTTAATATTACATAACTTAATACTTGAAACAGCCGCTCAACCAACTCGGTTATAAGTGTCGAGTTGAATTAAAGAGAATCTTATTTTTACCACAATGAAACTGACCATTTTTATTTAAAAAATCAATTCAAGGACAGGATTCTTGCTTGGTACCTTTGTTAAGGACTTATCTGTTACGAGTCTTTTGTGTGAGAGATTTTCTTCCATAACAGAGTCTTAAGATTGTTCAGAATCAGTGAGTGCTCGATTTCCATCTGTTCTGTTGAACCTTTCAGTGCAATGCAGGCGTACAGCTGCTTCTCAAGCTCCTCGCGCATGTCAGATGGCACCCCCCTCAGAACGTAGTCCTTGATTGCTTCACAGGCTTTGGCCAAGTTTGGCCTGGTCACCTCTGGTGTGCAGCGGTGCTTGGTGAGGTCACAGGAAGTGAGGCAATCAGCCCCGTAGAGACAGTCCTCGTCCACGTTGCAGTGCTGTTGCCTAATGCCTTCTTGGAAGGAGGCCTCGGGAACGATGTACCACGCATCCATCACCTTCAGGTCGTGGCGGTCGTTGTAGCCGAAACTGGTGGCACTCACATCACACATGAGGAAACTGCCGAAGGTGCCGTGGAAAACGTCCTCAACCAGTTCCAGCAGTCCAATGGAGATCTTGGCCTTGTGCGGCCAGGAGGGAGTGAACCACTGGTCCATGCTGCGACGCAGACCTGTAGGAATCCACACCTCCATAATCCAGGGTAGGCTGATGCCATACAGAGGAAAGTGTGGCACCTTCTCCATCACATACAGGTCTCCGCAGAAGCCCAGCAGCTTTGGCATGTGCTCTCTGTCTCGTAAGACTAAAGCTAACAGGAACTCATTGAGCTGAAGCAGAGCCCACGTGGAGCGAGCCTCGGGCAGAGAGACGTGACCGTCCTTGTTGGCATCGGCAACTAACAACACTTGGGTTGCCAGGTCTGCGAGGTTGGCCTGTTCCCCCACTTTAGTCTGTAAACGCAAGAAAAGGATAGGGCAAATTAAGATTTTTAAATTCAGAATTAAGTGTGTTTGTGCTTTTCAGGCAGCATGTAGAAAAAGCATAAACACTATAACCCAGGGCTTTTCAAAGTGTGGGGGGGTGCCTCCCCTAGGGGGTGCAATTGTGGCGATGTGAGGTGTTAAAGATAATGTGATGTGTTTAAAAAAAAAAAAAAAAAGCACAGATGTGTAAAAAAACAAATCTAAAAGTACAGATGTTTAAAATGTGTTCAACAACCATTTTTTAAGTATGAATAGAACATTAAGTATAGCAACAGCAAAAAAGGGACTAAGTTACCCTTAACTATCCAATGTCATGACTGTTGCTATGCACTTGCCAGATGTAACCTCAGAGTTCATGTCCTTTCTTGATGATGATCCTCTTGTTGACCCTGATCTGTGCAGTAGCAAACTTCTTTCATGCAGAAGAAGGAGCAGACAGCTTCCTGTGTTAACCAGACTACACATTTTTGAATGCTAGTTCTTAGAAACAGTTGTCTCTTATGTTTCCTGTTAACCTTACTGCATAAAACATTCTTCTTTCCCTATTCGGGGAGCATTCATGCTGAGTGTGAACCCCCTGCAGAGCTCTATTAAAGACCCAAAGTTCCTAACCTTTAGGTGATTGAGGATCATCTCCCTGAACATTTCCACTGAGGTGCCCTTGGTGGGCTTGTCGAAGGCCGCAGCTTCCTTCCTGGGCTCCATCTCACTTCCTAAATCGTAATGGGGAGCCTCCTCCATCTGGCATTTAATGACTCCCTCCAGGTCTCCCCAGCTCCCTGAGTAAACCTGAAATGAACAAGGCAGGCCAGGGGTCCAGATGGATTAGTAACAATTAGAATGGAGAGGACGGATAAAAAAAACTTTAAAAAAAACTGACCTGGCTGTTGGGCTTGGCAGTGAAACACTTCCCCAGATAAAGCGTGTCCTTCTCACACAGGCTGCTGCAGGCAGAGCCATCAATGACTCCTTTTCTATATTTGTCACACTGAAACACACAATGGGAGGAATCAACAACAGCCCGACATGAACTGGAATATGAACACATGTACACTGAGAATGAACAGTTTATGTATTGGGATAAGATCTGGATCGATGGATCCACCTGGGAAATGGAAAACACCCACTATTGAATTTTTGCAGTCGTGTCCTCGACACAGCTCTGTGTAGGATGAGTACTTCACATACACGATCCAGCTGCCCACGAACAGCGTCAGCCAGGAGAAGAACAGGTACCTCATATGAAGGTAGGAGAATCTGGCCTGTGGAGAACATGTTGGAGATTTCAAACAGTGTTAGATCAAATATGTGCTTAAGATGTGACATTCAAATTATATTACTGATTGTATTTATATTGTAATATAATTGTAATGCTTTCAGTTAGGTTTAATTCTGATTCTTACTCAGGTTATTAAAAATATAGTGTTCGCTGTGGATGTTTTGGTCAGAGCTATCTGAGGCCTGCCTGAGATGCTGCCATGACTACACCATTTTATTATTTATTATTTATATACATTATTTACAGTGAGATTGTTACATCTGCAAAGAAGGTTACTGTGTCATGCATTTGTTAGTTAGTCTGTTAGTTAAAAATAATATTGTTTATTTAAAATAAAAAAAACTGGACAGACAATCAAAGCTTTCTGGATGGATGTGGTATGGGAAAAGAAAAAGGGATTGATATTTCTGAGTGTGTGCAGATCCAAATACAAATCCTAACGCACTGAATATAAATGTGGTCTCATGGGCCTCGACGCAGGTATGTGCTATTGTTTATGAGCTAATATCACCTAATGTAGGGTATATATGGATCATTATTGAGTGAGAGTCATACACTGGTATCAGTGGGGTGGAAGGTTCAGATGTTCGAGTGGGTGACGTGATAAATTGAGCCAGAGAGTTTTACTTGTCCTCAAGGCCACAGATTTCACTCTTCACACAATATTCATTTGCCGCAACAAAATTCGTTTTCTTCCACCTAAGCAAGCATGTTTTACTCCGTAAGCCCCTGAGTGACATGATCACCACCCAACTGCCCTTCAGAAAATAAGGAGGCAAATATCAAGACAGACTTTAAAAAAAAAAGCAAACTTCTACATTTTTGAGAGCACAAACAACTTAGAGAAAAAACACAAAATGCCTCCATACTGTTCCTGTGTCATCCAAGTTCCGCAAGTCCCGACATTCAAATTCGACTGGATTATGTTTTTAGCCCTCAATTAAAAATTAAAAATGAATTTGTATTGGATTTGGCTGCAGCACTGTTTACCCCTGAGACTCCTAAAGTGTTTTGTGGACTCAAACACTTCACCCACCCCTCCATCAGCCTAGGGTGAGTAGATAATGATCATTCAACATTACAGATGTCATCAGAGTTTCACACACTGTAGAACTTACAGACTTTGAGCCATTAAGAGTTTGAGAGGTGTCAGTCACTCTTGTCCCTCCTTAACCCAGCTGCATCGAAGCGGTTTCCATCACTACGGCAACCATTAACTGCAGTCTGAGCACATTCCACTGATTCAGATCAGCTGATTACACTGCACACGCACACACACAAGAGCACACCGTGAAACAGACACATTTACAAAAACGCACAAAGACATGCACTCACACAAGCGCACAGGCAACTCATTATTGCCACAACAGCCCAGAGCAATGGTCGTCCATTAGTCACTGGAGTTCAGCTCCAGCTTGGCCTCCATGGGAGAAACTTTCAACCCCAGTCTCATTCAACCTCTTCCTATCCATTCTTACATTCTCTTAGATACATTCTTTTAAATGTAATACATTTTAAACAGAGTCCACTCTCTCATGGTGAAAGAAATCATAGCAAAAGCTTCACAGAATTGAAAGGGACTGTGGAGTGATAATTCTTTCAAGGTTCCTCACTATGAAATTAATTAGTGGACCTTTAAAGGCCAAGCTGAAAACTATTGGAACACCGTACATCAGAAAATGCACACATTCATCTCTGTTCATCAGGAAACAGTCAGTTTAAGTTGAATGTAAATTAGTTTCAAACTGAGTTGTATCACAGACTTTTAAATAGATGCAGAAAATGCTGTTTGTGTTCTAGTGCGGCAACAGTGGAACAGACTCCAGACTTATTCCCTGGTCGTTTGATTTTCTTTCTAATTCCCCAGCCGATAAATACAGTCTACTTAGATGCATAATGGCATTCCTCCAATTGGAGAACATTAGTGAAAAGTAATATACTTTTTAGCAGCCCTACTTTCCTGTCTATTAATGATTCTTGCACTTAGTGCTTGACATTGATGGACTCCCCCCAGCCTCCACCCTCTGGCCCTTTCAGTTCCAATTTTCTTTATTGGCTTAAGTGTCTTTATCTCTCCCCCCTCTTTCTTTTTTCCTTTCTGCATTACTCTCTTGCTACATCTTCCTCTGGGATCTTTTTGATCAAACAGTCCAACAGATAATAACTTGATGGTCGCTCAAAGATGGGAGTTTATTATTATTATCAGTGTTGAGAGGGAGATGTGTATTTTATCATTTGTCATCAGTCTCTAAATGGATTTGCTATCATTGTCTGAATTCGACAGCAGCGTTAGTGCAGCAATCAAGCTTTCAGAGAGCCTTGATGTGGCACTCTAATCATATTTGCCTCTGCACAGTGGACTTTATGTGCTTTTAAGTCAGTGCGATGAGACATGATTCATTTCTAAATCCGTATGGAAGTCAGACCACCATGACCAGGTAATGTTTGCCACTTTGAGTCACGTGATAATTCTCTTTGTTTGTCACTATGACTGACATCTTTCTCATTACACAGAATCATTTGATTGACTGATAATGTCAACAATGGTAATTAACACCTTTTTAAATTGGACCTCTTTCAATCATCCTGAAAGGGCTTTGAATTCCCCCAAAAAGGAATTAGATCATTTCCACTAAATATATTTCAACAGTACAACTAATATAGTAAATGGACTGTTTTTATACAGCGCTCTTCATGTCTTATCGACCATTACAAGCCACATTCACCCATTCACATAAACATCCATACAGCACTACACACTGCCAGCGGGCACAATTTAGAGTTCATTATCTCACCCAAAGAGACTTTATCAAGCGGACTGGAAGAAGCAGGAATCGAACCTCCAACCAACTGGTTAATAGACGACTGCGTCTAAATGGTAAATGGTCTGTATTCATATTTTCTAGTTTTGATGACCACTCAAATCTCTTTACAGTATAGCTTTTCCATTAAACTATTTATGACCCACTCTACTCCCTCTACCCGCCCACAACACATGGAGACCAGAATGGAACTCAATAGTAAATACAGTATGCAAATTTTTTCAATCAGGACCATGCATTATTCAAGAGGACTACAAATTTAAATGAGTTTTGCCCTGACCCACACTCATTTCTATGGTAATCTGTTCAGCAGTTTTCGGTGTAATGCTGATAAATAACAAACAAAGAATCGCAAATGAAAACGTAACCTCCTTGGCAGAGGTAATGAGAAGTAATAGTACTATTTCACAGGTATTTAATTGTTGCTAGTCACAAAAATCTTCAGCCTTCAGTCAGATAACTCGCAAATATCTTTGACTCCCCTGTTGGAGCCAACAGCTGGAAACTGGGGTGGTGGAGGAGCTGAATCGACTGGCAGCAGTACTGACGCAGGCCAGCAGAGGCATTGACAGCAAAGGGAGAGATGGGAAATATTGGCAGCTTAAATAGATCGGCAAATTGGGAGGGTGTGTGCGATAGAGGATTATGGAGAGTGAGGCATGTCACATGAAAAGAGCAGCTTGAGTTGGCTGCATGTGTGGTCACACTAGAAGAACCTCCATTGTTTCTAAAAACCAATCCTTGTTCTGATTCCGTCTCATCATTAACTGTGATCTTCCTTCACTTCTTCGCAAACTGTGTTGCAGTCATCTCAAGATTTTTTAAATGTCTCTCTGACCGTTCATCGTACAGTTGATCAATAGATGTTTGCATAGCAGCGTTTACAAAAGCAGTCATCTTACAAACACGCCACGGATACAGAGCACCATCCAATTAAAAGCGACAAGCTACTCGAACATGATTCCCACTCCTTTATCTGCTGATTGGTTTACTTACAAATCTGACCATACAGACCCACAGCACGTTTAACAGCAGTGACCACACAAGTAAGTGCTTCATGTATACATTGATTTTTCCGTAGGTGAAATGCATCAACAGCAAAAGCATCATGGAAATAACAGTCTGCGGGGAGACAAATGTATGATTGGCCTTCTGGTCGATAGATTGCGGCTTTCACTCCAACTCTGTGCAATGCATTTGTATCTCTGGGATTACGTATTGACCCCGTGCAGGAGGAAAGAGATACACAAACATGGCTAATGAGGTGATATTGATTGTGGCTTCTGTGACAGCTATTAATTAGACACTGACTGGGAGCTGTGGCCATATGCTGAGGTGGATGGAAAGAAACGTCTGTCTTCATCCGGTTGAATTTACTCTTCACCCACATCCCTGTTAATCATATTTAAACTCTGAAGTTCTGTGACATAACATACAGAGATATGAGCAAACAGTGCACAGCGACAGAGCGTCAGCCGATGTTGAAATACTGAGGCAGAAAGGAGATTAAAACCGATCAAGAGCAGCACATAACGGAGCTGACACTTTTTTTTTCTGCAGCTGGCACACCATTCATCCATTATGTATGATTATAAAGCTATATCCCTCAGAGGTTGCCAGTTAATGGGCTGCCAAGCAGAGCTGAGGAGGACATGAAAACAGGAACAAAAGATGGAGGAGGCTGTTGGAGTGAAAAGATGAAGCTATTTATGGAGTGTTCGCTTGACATCTCTTACAAATAGAAAGAAAAACATAAAGACCGGTCCAGGTAAAATGCGGATGGAAAGGACCACCTGAGAGTGGCAGCTCATCATCGCATCGGCACTTGTCACCGACTCTCTGAACACGATGCAACGCTGTCTGCATGAACCGCACATAGATCTGACTCATCTCGGTGCAGACACCCCCCCCCCTACACCACTTCCACCCCCCATACAAAGCCCATGTTTTTCCACGCTGACTCACTGCTGCGACATTAGCACATGCAAACATTACATTTGTCAGCAGAGTCGTGATGCTGTAAATCTAAGTCGAACATTGCTGACACTCGCACACAACTCACACAATAAACTTAGCCTTGTGTTATTCCTGCGGGTAATAACACAAGGCTAAGTTTACTGCAGCTTCCTGTCATGGGAAACCCCCTCCCAGGTCTGAACCAACAAGTTAAAGCTGCATGTGCACGAAAAAAAATGTTTATTGAAAAATTTAAAATTATGGATGGCATAGGTGATATTTGTAAAGCATCGGAGATCAAACTGGAAGTGACCCAATTTTAAAAAGTAATGTAGGCTATTCTTGTCCACTTATCTGCAGCTATACTCCAGCTTTCTCCCTCTCTCATTCTTGTATTGCTGTCTCTGTTGGCAGTTTGTGGAACTTATTTATACCGGTCATGAAAGTTTAGGGTGCTGTGCTTTCAACTATAGAGAACATACGCTTGGCATCATCATAACCTTCAAACCAGCCCGAAATGCTCCCTTTTTCAAGTCATTTTCCAGCTGATGCAAATGGTTGTGTTCTCACCAAAAAATTGAGATTTAATGATTTCAATTAAATACATGTTATAACCTCCATCAAAGAAGTAATGGTTCACGCCGTCTCTTTGTTGATTTGCTGTTCGGCAGCAAGATTACACAAAAACTACTGAATGAATTTCTACAGAGCTTAGTGGAAGGATTGGTCAGGTAAGGATAAGGATGTTTTCACCAATTTGATGGATAATGCAAAACAAAATCTGACATATTTAAGGGACTGATATGAGTGCCATTCTAGTTTTAAATGTGAATTAAAAATATTACAATATCAACTTTTCTGTCTGAAATGAATACAGTGATGTCTGTCAAACACCTATAACAATGACACAGAAATGGAAATTTAAAAAAAGAAAACTGTTATAATGTTAACATGGCTTAGTTATTGTTAAAACATTAACTTGCTGTCAAAGGTAAACCATTTTAGAACAAGCAAAGCGCTTCATAGATGCAACTGTTCAGCATGAGCTTGACTGATGTTTTGCCTTTAAACTGTTTGAATCATCTCTGCAGGAAGACATAAGAGACACAATCCTCTTTTATTGTTTTTTGTTTGTCAGCTAAACTGTGCTTGATCCGGCAAATTTTTATTCAATCGTGAAATATATAGACAAAGAATTGAACCTGCCAGAAGACACATTCCTGGTTTACAGGACGCGACAGTCTGTGTTCCTGCAGAAAACACTCCTCTCCAAGGATCTCTGACAGACACTTCTTACGTTGCCACTGCAAGGCTGGTGGCCTAGAAAACTGAACGAAGCTGGTGGCCGTCTCTTGAGACCGTCTGTCTGTGCCTCTATTCTTTTCACTTCACTTGACAGTTTGTGTCTCTTCCATGCAGTGGGGCAGGAACAGGGAGTTTGCAGCACCAGCTGCTATGAGTCTATGCTGGACCACGATTTGTGAGTCTGAAACATGCAGCCAAAGAATTAAGATACTGGAGGGTTGATAATATGTTTTCCCCTTTACCAATAATTTCACCCATTAACCTGTTACATAATTTCCTTCAACAGCTACAGAGAGGAGGATGGCCAGTAGGGCAGCATCACATCCAACAAATGACTGGATACTGATTTACAGGACATGAAACATTTGGTAATTGGTGGAGCATCCCACAACTCTGTGGCGACTTAAAAACAGCATCAGCACCCGGCTTAGGTTATATAAATAAGGTCGGTGATGAACTTTTGCAGCCTCAGAACCAGCATCTCTCCTCTGTGTGACTGTACCAGCGGGATGCATCAGGAAGTGGTTGCTACAGCAACGGGAATCAGGAGGATGGTCGATTACCGTCGAGCATCAAGTGACTTTATGATTCAGACTGTGGATCCTCCAGCAATTTATAACCAATGCATATGCGATATATATGAAGGTCATACGATAACAGCATGCATGAGACAGTTTTCAGTCGCACCTACATGCAGGTTATACACTGAGAGGGTTGGCGGAGAGGGATTTCCCAGAAGCTTACCTGGATGTACAGAGGCTTTCTGACGAACCCCCACGGAAACAGACCCCTTGCCATGGCCGACGCGAACCATCTCACACCAGCTGCCGGAGGAATCAGTCACTTCTCCTTCAGACGGAGTCAGGAAACGTCTGTTGCCCCGACCCCTGCTACACTTCCGATGATAAAACCACAGTGTTTGTGACTGCGGCTACGTGGATGAGCGCTTTGGTGCGGCGAGGCTGCACGCTGAGCTGCGCCGCCGACTGCAGCGAAGTCAGACTCATGTTGGCCATGCTCGCCCCTGAGCCGGGTCGACCAATTAGAGAAGGAGCAGGGGGAACACATTACGAGATCTTGTTCTATTCTAGTTTTAAGAATAAAATGTTGTTCAAAACGCGAGATTTTATTAAGGGAGGTATTTCCCCCTGCAATTTAGAAGGAAGACAAATTCTTATTCCTAGAATTACATCAAGTCAAATGTTGTCAATTTCTGACCTACTGTGCAGAGATCTCCTGTTCAGCATCAAACACCAGCCATTCAAAGTATATAGGTATGTACTGTGTATTAAGCTGCTTAAGCACCTTGGCTTTGTCTTTGATTTATTTGACTTGAATACTACTTCATGTCATATTTAATTTCCATAGTAATATGGAATATAAATGACATAAATATCAAATGATTGCTTTGTAATTTGGGCATAAATCTGGCAGGGTTTTCATGAGATTTCAAAAATGTGTACCCTATGTAAGAAGGCTTCTGTCTTTGATTCTGGGAGATGTCCTGCTGACAGCTTACAGATGAGAGACTGAATACCGAAGTCTGCAACCTAGGGAAATACACCAACAAAAGTTTTTGGCTGTTATACAGCACATTGGTGTGTGGTGAACATGCATTATCATTCATAAAGATAGACAGTGCTGCCTGCCAAGTGTGAAGAATACAAAACAGAAATTGGTATAGTTGGATATGACAAATTGAATTGCACAATGTATTTATTCAGCACAACAGAGCTGTGATAGCTGCACTGCTGTTGAGAGAAAGTAACTAAACAAACCTGGCATACATGTCTGGAATATTGGATTTGCTATAGTAGAAATGCTTGGAGTTTGGCGGGGTAGAGGACTGAAGCTGGATGCAGATAAGGTATTTCCTGCAATTATGGCATGCTGATTACCTTGAGGCACTTTGGGTGGGTAGATAAAAAAAAATCTATTTCTATGTGAGAACAAACAAACAGCAACCTTGTTGATGCAGCGATGGGGGCAGCAGCACCACTGGAGTCCACAGAGAATACAGCAGAGGAAATAGTGGTTGACTGATTAAGACAAATTTATGCACAATGTCTTATCTACTGAAGGCCTGCTCCACAAACATAACTTTTCAGATTAATAAACACTGGAAAACCTCTGCATGGATTTAAAATTCCCATGAAACATTAGATGCATTGTAAATGTGATCATGTTATCAATAACAGGTATTTGTGATCAATGGTCTTTGAGGATCCTAATTTTAAAGAGGGTGCTAAGGATGGAAACAATTCATGATGGAGTAAAATGCTTTATAACCTGCTTTTCTGCGAGAGACCAGACAGCGGCATCAGAAGTAACCGCTGTTAGCCTCCCCCCTCATGGTGACAGTCCTCTATTACAGTTTTACAGTTACATCCAGCTTCCTGAAGTCACTCGGGATGTAGAAGACAGGAATATTCAGAACATGTGAAAGTAATTTCACACTGAGAAATGGCAGGAGTTACGAGGATATAGACATCACGTAGAATATATTTGTTGTCTTCAGGCAAATCTCTGTTGCAGGATCAGATTTTCTTTTGGGATTGATACAGGAAGCGAGAGGTCTAGTGTGGAGTAAATGATACACCTGGGTGATATTTTATATTCCTATTTCAAACACTAAAAACAAAACAATGCATCTGTTATATAACTTGGTGTACTGCATAGTTCCAGTGCTCTACCATACAAACAATTGTCTTTGCATGTTCAATTATTATGAACTTGTAAAAATCTGAATGATCTTTTTTTTTTATTAAGGGTCCTGCATGATGATTAAACCCATATTCAGAGCATGTGAGTTTACAGTGACCAGTGGATGCTGGTTCATTGGAATAATTCAAGCTTATGTATAAGTTTGATATATTTGCAGGTAACCATCATTTCAGTGCAACCATAGAATGTGCATTCCCCTTATTTGAATTTCCTTCCGGGGATTAATAAAGTATTTCTGATTCTGATATAACGCAGCAGGATTTCACACTCCGGACTTGCAGCAATGTCACACAATGTTTTAAGCTAAGAGCAAGACAATGACACCAAACTGCTCTCCGTGGTCAGACAAGAACCTTGAGCAGCAGCTGCCATCTGTGTGTGTGTGTCTGTGAATTTTTTGAACACAGGCATTTGGATATATAATTTACTGTCTCGGCTGGGAACATGGCTCCAGCTCCTCCCCCAATCTCCCCAAAATAATATTTAAAGTATATATAATAGATAAATGGTTGGATTTATACATTTATAGGGAGGGATATATCTTATCCCTCTGTGCCATTGGCCTATCATCGTCCAAAAACTATTAATACACTTCATTGAATCTCACTGGATACGTTCCCTCATTATCATGAACAAACACACACATCTTTACTCTCTGAAATATACTAACTAATAATAATACATACTTATTCTTATTATATACTAGGGGTCACTGAATGGTGTGAGTGTTAAAATGGGAGTCGTATATGCTATGATCTCAACCCAGCTGAAGATCCATGGGTGATTTTGTACCTGGTGTGCTTGCTTGAACATCAGGCTCAAAAATAAAGTCAACTGGCAAAGTAACAGGCATCGCACAGGGCTGCGCACAGACATCTCTGCAGCCTACATTTGTTCAGCAGCACTACCGCAAGTCTTAGTCTGCACTTGACTGCACAAAACACCCTCCACACTCTGAGTTTGAACCTCTCTCCTCAGGCCAGACTTGTAGAGTGCCCTGATTCACACACAATTGGAATCAAACCTTCTTTGTTCCTTGTGCAATAAAACTGCTAAATTTACACATGGGATTTTACCATTATTCTGTCTTGAGCACCTGACTGTCCCATCTGGGAGGATGGAATAATTGAACTGAATTGAACACTGTCTCAGCAATGCGGTCTGACTTCTGGACACTGAGATCCTGAATTGAGGATCAACAGTGGTATATGCATTTTTTTTTCTTTTGGTCATGTGCATCTATGGAGATTTATGGAACACAATCACCTCATTGTAGATAAGCGCATCAGATGCATTCACTCATTCCAACAAGCACCCATTATATGGGTTGCTTTTTAACCCTTAACAGAAAATCTGTTTCTTCTGGACATAGCTCTCATATTTCTCATATCACATGTTCTTTTGTTTTACGTTATGAAATTACATGGTGTCTGTGTTTATAAATAAGTAGAAACCATGACTAATGTTTTTGTTGACAAAATAGCCTATATTCTATTATTTTCTTAATGCAGCAGCATGGGAAAAGAGATGTGTGTGTGTGTGTGTGTGTGTGACAGAGAGAGAGAGCAGTGGCACCTGAATTGCAAAAGAAAAAAATCATTTTATGTCTCAAATATCAGATCAGTCAATGAAGGTAATAATGTTGCTGTTACATTGACCACTGTTTTATAAGGTGTTGGTATAAATTATCCAAAATAAAAGAGACTGCCTTTGTGTCTGTGCTTGTGGTCAGCCTGGGGGAAGGCGCTGGAGACAGTGAAAGTGGAAGTCACATTGTAGGAACAAGAAAAGATACCAGAGAAAGCCCAGGAGATGAGTGGCCTTTGTGGAGAGATATGTAACATGTGGTAAAAAAATACAAGCAGATTAAGTTATTGTTAAGAGTAGAATGGCCTCTACTCTTAATTACTTAGAATATTTGATAAAATTCAATTCATGAAATAGTGGAAAGAGAGAGAGAGACCAGAAACAGAGAATATTTTATCATTTTTCTGCCAGTATGATGCCATGTTATCAATCAAACCCTTGACACTGCTCGAGTTTCATATTAATTGGCTAATGCTTCCTTGGATGTGAATACAGACCATTTCATCTTTTATAAATCCTACAAAGGGGAAAGCTGGCTGACTTCCTAGGATCTCTGTCACCACTGAGGAAGCGTAAAAGTGATCTGTTTTGCTTTAAGGCTTTGTGAAGCCAGTCTTATGACTTTCCAATTGTAATGCTGTGTACTGAGAGTTGACTGTTTTAAGATGACTTCGAGACATGTGCTGGGGTTATGGCCTATAAAAAGCACCACATTAGCAAACAAGACAGCGTCTCATGTGTAGCAGAGACATAAAAACAAGTGTATGCTGTTCGGAGGATTCAAAAGTGGGACAATACTGGATGTTGAAGTCATTTTTAGATACCTTGTCTTGCGTCTCGTCTTCACTTAGGTTCTTGGCTGTTGCATCGTAAGACATCCAGTATCTAGTTTTTGCAGGTTGCTCTGATTTTTTACACTCGATATGAGTAAGTATAATGGTGAGCTGACCCAGCGGGAGCAGGAGCTACTAAAAATTCGTCGAGACAGTGACACTAAAGCTGCTGAACTTGCTAAGATGGAGAAGATGCTGCAGCAGACCAAAAACCTGTTGGACAAGAAGGCAGAGCCTGGCTCAGAGAGCATGGGCTACCAGGATAACATGGGTCTGTAAACATTTCCCCAACTTACTTAAACCTTAACAACTCTGTTAGCAGCTGTTTGAGACTGTGTTGTCTGATTTTCTTTGTTTGTCGGTTTTCTGCAGTTGAGGACCTTGAGGAAAAAGTGCGCTCCAGCAGACGGCACAGGAGAAATTCCCTACATCACACACAGATGCTGGAGAGCCAGATGAAGACAGTGAAAGGTGAGTTGGTCGGAACACTGGACCATCTTCAGGAGCTGAGGAATGTCTTGCGTCGCTCACAGCAGAAAGCAGAAGAGCGCAAAATAGCGATGGAGAAGCTGGCAGCGGGGCTCAGGTGAACTCTGTGCTCTGCGTCTGCTTTTGATTTGAACCAAGGTTTCGACCCTTTCAAGCTCCAGTACACCAAGTGAATATCTGACCTGACATCCTACATCGCCAACGAAATCCGAGCAGAGCTCGCATCTAGCAAGACCGCACCGATACACCAGTTAAATAGTAGAAGAAAGAGACTTAAATTGCCAGGTTGGTCCTCTTCCTCTGCAGTGAGGACATCATTTTGCATCACCAAAGACTACATCCAAGACCATCCATGGTATAATGATTAAAATGAGCATCTTCTTGTTCCTTGCTTTTCCCTATTTTCTTCTTATTATGCTCATATTTTGAGGGGTTTGCATCAACGTGTGTTGAAATAGTTTTTGTTTTTTACCAAACTCCAGTTTCTCTGTATCTTGTGAAAACAATCTGAGGATGATCACAAGTCACTGCTGCTTATTCCAATGGTTAAGACACTGATCCATAGTTGTCTGAGATATGAAGATTGCAGTTGTGAGATTTTTTTTTTCTCAGAAAGACCCCCACTTCTCCTTCATATGTATTTCTTCTTGGTTGATCTGTGATCATCCATCACATCTGCCATTTGTCAACTATATTTGGACATTTGTTTCCATCAGAAACCCAAGTTTAATTGGTTTAACCCTACCAGTAGTATGTAATCTGTCTTTTACAACCTAGGACTGTAAATTCATCAACCAATAAGTTATTATAATGGTGAGGAAAACGTCCACACCGATTGTCATGGATTGTTTATAGGCAACTTTCACACATTTATAGTATATAAACAGGAATAAAAGGCACAGAAGTAATTGTTTAACTGTTAATAATTTATTTCTGGCAGTGACTAGATAATTCATCCTGAGATATGATCATGAAAATGTATTATAGACAGTTTAATCCACAGAGATACGCAGGTGCATTTCTTTTCTTTGTAATATATTTGATGATGACAGAAAAGTGTTTTTATTTGTTGCTGTGCAGAAACTCTCAGTGTTGTCCCTCTGGGATCAATAGTCTGCTGTCTGATTCTTGCGGTGAGTCATCTGAAAGCTCAGTTTGTGCCCCTGGCTAAAATGGGATCACATTTGAATTTAGTACAGCTTGTTTCACACCGTCATGTCACATGCTGTGAGGCTGTAAAGCTGTGAGGCGGGTTCTGAACTGTCCTGGTCACTTAACTGTCCTTATAACACCGTGAGAGTGCAAAGTCATATTCATTATATTCAGCTGTTATGTTATCTTAAGTTTCCTGTCTCTGATTTTAAATGAAGCCGTCTCAGACAGCTTGATATCTTTGCTCACATGTAAGTGATGATTATACGAATAGATTATTACTACAAACCTGCCAATAAATGGAGAAATCTCTACTTTTTGTCTGTCCTTCAATTTACTTCACATCAAGTAGACTTCAGTCTGAGGAGAGTCGACTATACATGAGGAGTGGTAAACTGTTTTTTTCTTCCCCAAACAACAGGCCCATTTAAAACAGACTTAAAATATGTTTTCTATGAGTGTATAGGTTTGTTTCCACATGTCTTCCACATGTAAGATGGAGACCCTGACATCAGCTCTCGTTTGTCTCATGCTGGAAGGTGACCTCTGATGACATAACTTTGTATTTGCATGTCCAAAATGTTCCTGTCATTCCACAGTGTTGTAAGAAAAAAAAGTCTAATGGGAATATTTAGACTCACCAAGCAATATTCTGTGATGCCACTGCGGATGTCACAGCAGTGCACAGCAAGTGGGGTTTGAAATGAATTGGGGGGTCAGGGTGTCAACGAACGCTCATCAATAGCTCACATAGACAAGACTGCACTTCCTCTCGTCTTTTCGAAAAAACACACCAACCAACTTTAAAGTCAATCAGGCACATTTCAAACAAGCAAAAACTTTGTTAGTAGCTTCTCAATTTCCTTCTCAAAAAAAAACAAACCCTACATTTGTGACAACATTCATCGTCCCTGACAAATGTATGGACATCCCTGCTGTTCCTGTCAACTCAAAAGAAGAAATCATGAAGAGGTGGTTTTTGAAACAGATGTAGGGGATCACATGAGGATCAAATAGCCCTGCAGGGGGCGCTGGACACCTCTCAATGAGCAGTGTGGAAAAGAAACAAACAAACGGGCACTGTGCTCCTTGAAGATCTTGTGTCAGAAATCATTGGGTTCCTTTTTCAATTTATAAGCAGGTGTGTATTTATGAAATTGTGTCAGTGAATTAATAAATGAATACATATTTTTCAACCACTTTATAATAGCTTTGATTAAATAGAAAAAGTAATTTATGACTTATGAGTCATCACAGGGTTGGCAGCACAGGCTGTCTAGTCAGGCCAGTACATGGCATATCCAAATACTGACACACACACACACACACGCACACACACACACACTTTGACTTTTATAATCACACGGTTTAGTTTGAATAGTACAGAGCCTAGAGCAAACCTATAGACATTACACCATCCAGTGTATGTTGCAATGTATACATTGACAATTAATAATAAATGGATGCAAATATTACAGAAATTAGTAACAAAAGTCATTTGTTTAACCTACTAACACACACCCATTAGCCTCGAGTATATTGAACCTACCTCTCTTATGTGTTTGCATGTAATTACCTCTTTTTAGGTTCTAGGTAACAAGTACATGTTGTACCACCTTTACGGTACAGGCTGGGCCTCTAACAACGTGTTGCATGAAATACCAGATTATGTAAGCACTGGTGACATAACAAAACATTTAATACATGGTCTGGGACTGTTCGTGTGTGTTTTCTTTTTTTCTTACTGGAGCTATGATCGACGTCTCTGCTATGACGGTTTTATAACTTTTTTATATTCACTCAAACCAAAAATCACAATAGGTATCATAGTAATGAATGTTACCATAGCCTTTTTAAATCATTGTATTTTTTAAATACTGAAAAAGATGTTCACATGAACAGTTCGTTCTTTAAAGTAGGAAAGAAACTTGCTTTATCATCTGTTCGGTCTCTGAGACATCAGCTAGTTTCTCAGTACCATGGAGGTAAATGGAATTTTATTTGTGGTGCTCACAGCACTGAAAAACTATAAATAAATCTTTGTAAATCTTTCCAGTGTCCCTGCTGCTCTGACTAATCCGCAGAACACGCTGTCATTCTGGTAAGCATTTCTTATGTAGTTTCACTGAGAACTGCTCACTGTAAGATCTATTCAGAGCAAAGGGGATCTTGTTTTGGAAACAGATGTCAGGGTTGATAAGTTTAATTGATTTCCTGTTGCTGTGGAGGCAGGAAATCTCAAAACTTGAAATGGGCAGTGTGTGGTCAGTGTGAAATTGACTCCCTCTCTGGAGCTGTGATAGCCGTTGACACAAGGGATTAGGACCATGTTATATTCTGATGTGTTGACCGCAGTCAATAGGAGTTAATCCATATTGGGTGAGTATAAACCTCATGTGGACACATTTCTGCTCTGTCATCCCAATTGGTCAACTATATTCTAAACCATTTGAATCTGCCAATCACGGTTATCAGAATTTCTTGATTTCTGAATTGCTGGTTTGACACAAGTCTTAAGTTTTGGCATTTTAGCGAAACCATGGTCGCATCTCTCCTCTCCTGCAGCGAGGCGCAGTCATCTCTCACACACTCAGGGACATAAGTTTTGTTTGTGGTGCTGCCTTCAAGTGCTGTTGAAAAACCAAAATACTAGAGGACAACCAAGCCAAAGTCTCCAGGTGTACACAGTTTGTTCACGTACTAAAACAAACCAGGCTGTTGAGCTTGTTTAAAAATAGAACATATTCAAATTAAGTACACCTGTATCCTTGCAAATAATCTTCAGTGTTGTGTTTAATTGCAGCGTCGTCTGTTCACAGCTTCGTTACTGGAACTTACTTATTACTTGCATGTGTATCAGTTAACATTTAAATCTGTATTAAACAATGGGAGGACTGGAATGGAGGTCTTGAGAAAGGAAAAAAGACGATTATAAGTAAAAACCAACAACTTTTATATCCGAATGTTTAAAAAAGCTAAATTAACTGAAATACTGAGACCATAGAGATACAACACACCTCAACATAAATAGTGAGTATTATGCAGGCACGGTACACACCACAGGGGGATTCTATCGCAAACCCCAATAGACACCATCATGTGAGCACACGGTGATCACTACCACTGCAACTTACACTGCAAGGACAAAACCACAACACACTGTTCAAGTGACTACCACCCTTCAGGCCCACCACACTGGATGCAAAGTGGTGTGCAACCCGTAGGTCATCCTGCTGCCTAAAACAATGAAATGAGTGAGTTCCCTGAACTCAGTTGGTTCAGGGTCAAAATAAAATATCTGAATCTTTGATTGAATCTACCTGAATCTTCTTTCAAACATGGGGCCACAGAAATCTGGGTGGAGACACCACCCGACTGCACAAACACAGCCTAGCTGTCAACCCTCACGCTATGATATTATCATTATGAAATGGTTTCAAAATGTGACAATAATATCATTTACATATCGTGACAGGCCTATCTTAATATTTTTAATAATGTACCAAGTTGAAGGTTTCCTTGTTCGGTTTACAGCTTTAGCTCCCTGAGAATTTCTTTCATATCCAAGTAAATTGGTATTGCACAATGAAATATCCTGGAATCGATATTGAATCAAATCAAATCAAGACCTTGTTAATTGGAGTCGAATCAATTTGGGAAATCTGTGGCGATTCCCCTGCCCCAGTTGGACAGTATGAGTGAGGCTGCTCCCCGTTGTCATTCTGCATGCAGAGCATTTGTTTGTTTTGAGTGTCACACTATGAGTATACTTTTTAGTATTATTATTATTATTAAAGCTTGTTTTTGTGATAGATTGTTTGTTGTAGTGTTGTGTTAAATAGATATTGTTGCTGGTAGTTGTTTTAGTTTACTAGATAAATAGCTAGCAAGCACAGCTACCTACTGTATTTCGCATTGACATTTTGTCAACGTTTATCAAGGCTCACTTAGAATAAAGTTAATGTACCTGGTTAGATAGGGCTACACTTAAAGTTGTCATACGCAGGTAAGTTAATGTACTACTATGTCAGTTCTTTAACATTACCACTAACCACACAAGTGCACTTCATTTTATTTAAAAATATTTGCACATGACGAGGTGGTTAAGATTTTAATTCAAAAGTAAGCCAGAGGTGTGAGCAGCACTAAAATATTGAAAATTCTTACTTTAAACAATTTCACACACAGGCATCTTCATATTTCATGTTTGAACTATTTGTAAATTATCCATTAGGTACTGCTCTTATAGTCATAGTCATCTCTCTAATTGAAATAATAAAAATAATAATTATTATATCACAGCTTAGTTGAATTTTCTATTGTGACAAGTTCTCGGACTACTGTGTGAAAAGGTGCCCACCTCAAATTTGTAAATCTGAGCAGTCTAGATGTTTCTCTAAACAAAGTGAACAGAGCATTCAAATAAATTGTATAATCAGTTATATTATAATAAACATGCCAATGTTTTAAAACCAGTTTGTGGTGGCCTTTCAACACAAAATCTTGACTGTTATGTCATTTTCAAGGATCTTAAAATAGTCCAAATGTTTTTCAGCAACGAGCAACTTGTTGCTTTGGCATGTTTGTGTGCAGAGGTCTTTACAAAAGGCTGCTGTCTGCAAGAGATGTAGAGGGGACTCAAATTAGAATGTCTTAAATAAACAGTGAAATGTTTGTCAGAATAGCAAACAGCAAAAATACTGATATTTTCCATAAGAAGGTGACAAAGCAGATTTTTGTTTTCATGCTTTTACCTCTAAACAGTAAAATATAAACAATGCCATTATACATACATGTTTTGTCATCAATATTTTGAAGCCCAAATGAAGCATGGAAACACACAGCATAAGGTATAATGGCAGTGAGGTCAGATGTTGACAACAACCAACAATATGCAGAACCATATGCAAATCAAGTTTATTTATATAGCGCCTAGAAAAACAACCACAGTTGACCAAAGTGCTGTACAATAGAAGAAGACACAATCCAAAATATAAGAAAATAATCAAAGGACATACCGTAGCCTAGCTTAAAATAAAATAAAGAACATGAGAGTTTCCAGTCTAGTCTTAAATAAATCAACAAAAGTGCAGTTCCATGGCTTTGGGCAGCTACAGGGAACACAATCATTTAATCAACCAGTGTAACTATGATAAATGTTCAAGAATTTGTGCACATGAGAGAATATCAATAAAGAACCAAATACGTTTGTGTAACATAAGCTGCTTCAACAGGAGGCAGCACCACAACCTTTTGCGGTCACTTTGCATTGATCGCTGTTATTAATAGATGTCAATTGATCCCCCAAATTTCTTGTAATATGCTACCTCCTATTTGTGAGTAGTACAGTTAGCCAATGTCAATGCTGCAGCAGGAAATTAAAACTGAACCTCAATCACTTATGTAGGCGACTTCTTGTTCAGACAGAATGAAACATTATCAGACTTGTGATTCAGCCACAGGCTATCAGCAAAATACTGTGTGCCAGTCCTTCGCAAGTTAGAACAAGTATGTTGGCAGCCTTGGTGTTTAGACACTGTGTTAGGATTGTGGGCATGTGAGTGCACTTGTCTGCGTTTTTTGTCTTGTGGAGGCACGGCGGTATGTCCCAAACAGGGACTGTGTGAGTTGTGTGTCTGTTACACAACCAGACAGAATGTGCTGACACAGCTCCAACAGAAGGAGTGATGGACCCAGCCCTAACCTGAGATGAAGGCAGAAGCTCAGAGGAGAGATTTACGCCCTCGCTCTCTGTCAAGCTGACACAGGCGACTGCTGATAGACCAGTGCCAGACACCTACGCCCAGGCCAAATGCACGCTAAAGGTCAACAATGGAACTGCCAAATCAACCATGCAGCCGGATAGGATGGGTGTTTTTCGAAGTGCACACAGTCCAGTGATTTCCAAGAGACGATCATCTGCTCTTGCCATTAGAGAGCCACTGCATGACCTTGGAAAGCGATGCATTGACAGTTCATATCAGTTCATATCAAATGTACTAATCATCATCATCATCAGGATCATAAAACCTCTTGAAAAGTTGACACATGCTGCTTAACAGTGTTTACCAGGGAAGCTTGCATGGATGTGAATGCTCTGGTGTTTCCTACAATGTATAATTCACAGAAAAGGTCACAGCAAAGTTAGCATATGATTTTTTTTCACGATGAAAAAGGTTGAAGTGCGGATGACATTTTCATTCTATCTCTATGCAAATCATGAATAATCCGAGGTGATATCAGGATTTCATTGAGTTGATCTTTCATGCATCATGGCTGCAGGCAGAGACTGGGAAGATCAGAATGTACTTCTGCAGCTGTCGAAGAAGAACTCGGATTTTTATTACTTGCATAAAAGGAAAGGTAAAGGTCCAATACAATGCATTCAAAGTTTTAGTAAAAGCAAAGGTGTTTTATCATCAAACCATCCTCAAAGTATGAAAATGAAATTAACAGTGGAGCAGAAGACACGACACCTGCATCCTACTATTACAGCTGTCACTGATATGCATTAACATTTATATTGATAAGGCTGGTGGAGATAGCATGTTAAACATGTGTATATTTCTCTTTGAAATATAGTATGAAATGTGCAGGAGAGTACATGAGTACAGTAATATACACGGATATGTTCTACATGTACTTTACAGTGGAAATTCAGAACCACCAGTTTTCCTTATGTGACGCTTTAAACTGGTTTTTCCTGTCACATGAGCTTTCATTTCAAACCCAGTCTTGTTTCACAATGTGACAAGTCTTAATTTTGGTGCAGGTTGGTGTCTCTGCTGTGAAGGGTGTTTTGTGTTGGGACGTGGCTGAACACGTCCCACATTCAGAACGCGGATGTTGCTCCAGTATATAAATGAGACCTGAGTGCAGACAACCTGGGCGGTAACCTGGAAGCACAGCAGTGCAGCAGCATCAGCTCCCTCACAGCCACCAACTTTCTTCTGTCCTCACCAGGTAATGGGAAAGTTAATGAACGTTTCTTTTTTCATCTTAAATGTTTCTGCAAAACTAATAATACATTAACAAAAACTCTCTAGTAGTGTTTAATTTTTCTTTTAGCCTTTGAGAGAGTAGTTATTCATCAAATTACAGCATCAAGTCTCTGCATGAGCTCTTTCCTTGATTCTGCATGAATGGGAGCAAAATCATCGCTGCTTTATGCATGGATTACACAAATGCATTTGTAACATTTTTGAATGTAGTTACGTATATTATAGAATGACAAAAACAATGTGTGTATTTTTTCTGCCTGGGACTGGACACTGAGTCAGATATTCTGGCAGTTAATTAACAAGTCAACAGGGGGAAAGAACCGTTCCCTCTGGGGCGTGATATATAATTATATTTTATTTCCCTTGGCAAGGCAATAATTGCATAATGTGAGTTTTGCATTGCCTTTGCCTGTGGGGAGTGGCTCACTAAACCTCCTCACCAGTGCTTGGCTTGGCCATCTTGCCGGTCGAGTATTAATTAGGGAGGACACTCCCTGGTACATCAGGTGATTTTTGACCTATTTAAATCAACACACTATCTAATGGTATTACTGGTATTACAGGTTGTTCAGCACATAGAGTATAGAATAACTACAGGCTGGAACCTGAGACACAAATGGAACAAACCAACATTGACAAAATGCTTGAGTTTCTGAGCATCAAGAATATTTAATTTGAGGATAAAAACACGGGGATCAATATGTTTGCACGGCTTGTCACACTTTATATATGATGAGAAGTGTTTAAGAGTTTCAAAGGCAGAATTATAAGTTGTACGAAACTACTGCTGCAACAATTAATTGAGTAATTGTTAAACCAACTGTCCAGAACCCAAATATGATCTCTTGTGATCGCATAAAAAAGGGAAAGCTGGAAGCAGATATTTTTTATGATGATGACACTACTATATGCAGCTGTGTAGCTACTCACAATCTTGTTCTTAATGCAGTCAAGACAAATGTTATGCTGAATGCTGCTTCTAGGAATTTGACAACAAGTTATCCTCCAATGACCACTCTCGATGGAGGTGAAATTAGATGCAGTTTATTTTTTTAAAGGCTCTGTCATTGGAACACCATAAGGCGATTCTGGGCCCGCTCCCTCATTACCTGTGTCTGCATGACACAGAAATGCACTAGATATGACTGCTGCAAAGAAATTGGAAAAGGGGCTTTTGCTTATTCTGCATCGCTTATAATATGTTGCCGAAGGTCTTAAAGTCCAGTGAATTAATCTTGTGGAATACCTTTAGAACCAGAATGAAAGAACTGGAGGCAGATCCTTTAAGATGTCTTGTTTTTAACTTATCTGGTTGTTTAGTTGGAATCTTGGAAAGTTTGCATGTACTCTCAGCTGTTTTTCGGTTCTCCTGAACTTGTTTTCTGTTGGGGTTTTCTGTCTGTAATTATATTATATATGATTATATTGTTTTTATCTGTGCGGCTGCCTGTTTTAGCCAGGTCTCCATTGCAAAAACAGATTCTTCATCTCAGTGGGACCTTCCTGGTTAAATAAAGGTTAATTTGAAAAATAATAATGAAGTTGCCAGCTCACTTCAAGTTGTTGTCTTTGCTGCGACCTGATGAGTGACTTGCTCATAACGATGTGTCTTCTGTCAGGTCCAGAGCACTATGCCAGTCCACAAAGAATTTGAGATTGCGGGCAAGAAGCCCGGCCTGCAGGTGTGGCGTATAGAGAAAATGGACTTGACACAAGTGCCCCCCCAACTGTATGGGGAGTTCTTCAGCGGAGACGCTTACATATTGCTCCACACCACCGATGCTCCTTCGTACAACGTTCACTCATGGATTGGTATTGTATTTAGATTCTTCACTGACACCTCAAATAAGTCTCTGGTTTGTAAAATGATTTAATTCCCCCATTTGTCTTTCTATACTCTTTTTATAATCCCCACCTGTTATACCAGGCAGCGAAGCAACTGCAGATGAGAGAGGATGTGCTCCCATCTTCATGACCCAGCTGGATGACTACCTTGGACAAAAGCCGCGTCAGTTCACTGAGTTTCAATATGAGGAGTCTAATACCTTTATGAGCTACTTCAAGTCTGGTGTCAAATACAAGGTGAAATATGATGATACGTGTGTGTTGTGGTTGGTCAACTAATCATCTAAAACATCATTTTGTTTTACTGTGGAAAATACAAGAGATGATTAGATTTCTTTGTATGTAAAGATCAGAAGCAAATCTTGAACTTTCAAATGACACACATATGCAATGACCTAAGCCAAAGAAGTTGTTCAAGTATGTTTATATGGGAAGTGGAACTATTCACATTGGTTTTTTGGGAACTGTTTTAGTTGTCAACTGTTATCTTAGATTAGTCTAAAGAGAGGAAACAGCTAACCTGACTGGTAAGAGTCTTCATCTGAGTCTTGTCAAGAAAGAAAATAAGCAATTAACTCAAAATGTCCAACTAATTTTTTAATATTCATCTTTACAACTATGAATATTCATGTATTTGAAATCTAAATAGCATACAGGTGTAGTTGGATCATTCTAACGCTTCATTCAACTTGACTTTGTCACAGAAAGGAGGAATATCATCAGGCTTTCGTCATACAACCGAAGAGATTGTCAAGCGCCTGCTGCACATTAAAGGTCGTCGTAATATCAGAGCGATAGAGGTGGACATGTCCTGGAAAAGCTTCAACAAAGGAGACTGCTTCCTCATTGACTTGGGAGAGGTGAACAAGAATGGATCTGGATAACAAAAAAATCCTGGACAGCGTTTCACCATAACTAATATTGTTTTCCTCTGCTCCTCATTGCAAAATGCTAGACGATTTACCACTGGGCTGGTAGTGAATGCAATGTCTTTGAGTGCCTGAAAGCCACTGGTGTGGCCATTGAAATACGCGACAATGAGCGAGGTGGCAGTCCTGAAATAATCTACGTCGAGGAAGGCAGTGAGCCTGAAGAAGTCATTAAAGTGAGCTTTTTTTCTTACATTTTCTTTCTTTCTATCTGTCTGTCTGTCTGTTTGTCTGTCTATCTGTTTCTTTCCATCTCTCTCTCTTTCTTTCTGTTTTGTTCCAGAAACCATTGGAATATTTGTGCCCTTGGCTGTGTTAAAGAATTTATCGGACTTATTTGGCTGCAAGGAGGGATGTAATGTTGCAGTCTGTTTTTTTGTGTGCTTATATATAGATTCTGGGACCAAAACCCGACCTCCCATCAGGAACCTCAGACGATAAATCTGCTGATAAGAAGAGCAAGAAACTGGCATCTCTCTATTTGGTAAATAGGATGTTCAGTCTGCAGCTTTTGAATCAACTCCTGTGAATAAACTGATTCATATGATGAATGTAAATGCTTTAATCATCTCTCTTCTTGCTAGATTTCTGATGCAGCTGGCTCCATGAAGACAAGTTTGGTGGCTGAGAAAAACCCTTTCCAACAAGACATGCTCTCCGAAAAGGATTGCTACATCTTAGACAATGCAGGGGACAATACAGTATTTGTCTGGAAAGGTATTTGATTTGGACATCTTTTCATTTCTGCAACCCTTTGGATACAATCTGTTTGGTGTATTAATGCGTATCCTTCTGAAGTCTCTAAATTCTGTACCCCAACACTGCAGGAAAGGAGGCAAACAAAAAAGAGCGAAGTGCAGCACTGGCTGCTGCAAACAAGTTCATCAAAGACAAGAATTACCCCCCAAATACTAAGGTAATGTGATCATGTGGTTAAAGCCTACTACCAGAACATCATCCTTTCTGTCATCTTTTGCTGTTTATGAATATTCTAGCACTTCTGCTTCTTTCTGACATGTACAGGTCCAGGTAATGCCATCTGGAGCTGAGGCAGCCCTGTTTAAGCAGTTCTTCTTCAATTGGCTTGACAAGTATGAGACTACAGGACCAAGTAATGCCTACATTATTGGTAAAATCGCAAAGGTGGAGCAGATTCCCTTCGATTCCTCCTCACTCCACGACAACCAGATTATGGCTGCCATTCACGGCATGGTGGATGATGGCTCCGGGAAAGTCCAGGTTCGGTCACCAGTCCAAATACAGTCACACTGTATGTTAATTTCTTTGAATATCAACATGTAGCTGTGTGTCTGTAGATTTGGCGTGTGGAAAAAGGTGACAAAGTACCTGTTGACCCATCCACTTATGGACAGTTCTTTGGAGGTGACTGCTACCTGGTGCTGTACTCCTACTCTGCAGATGGCAGTCCGAAGCGTATCATCTACACCTGGTGGGTGCTCATCTTATCAACATGGGTCTATCTATCTGTTAGGAGAAACCACTGTAGGCTAATGCCAAAGAGAGCAAATTGGACTTGTGGTGTGAATCCCATGACAAAATTGCAGTAAATCAGTAAATCAATAATCCTATAGTCAAACCACAGTTGCTTTTCAGACTTAATAATGATTATTGCCATTAATCTTTGTTCAATGACAAAAGAGGGATACATTTGGGTTTGCTGTCTTTAGGCAAGGACAGAAGTGCACTCAGGATGAGCTGACTGCTTCAGCCTTTCTCACAGTCACACTGGACAACTCCATGGGTGGGGTAGCTACACAGGTAAGAAATTCACTTTGAAATAAATACTTTTTCTTTGAGAAGCAGTTAAACACTTTTTTCATTGAGCTATTGCTGTATCTCTGCAGGTTCGTGTCACTCAGGGCAAAGAACCACCTCATCTTGTGAGCCTGTTTAAGAAGAAGCCTTTGGTCATCCACCTGGGTGGGACGTCGCGCGAGCATGGTGAGAGCAAGCCTGCCAGCAAACGGCTCTTCCACATCCGCCAGAGCTCCACCAAAGCCACACGGGCCATTGAGGTCAGTGCTGTTCACTTCAGTGAAACTTTCATGAACTAGACACTTAGTCATAAACTATTCCCTTAATTTCTCCCTCTCTTTGCATCTCGCTGACCCAGGTGGAGCCTGTCGCCTCTTCTCTGAATACCAATGACGTATTTGTGCTGAAGGCATCCAACTCCGTGAAGCTGTGGGTGGGAAAGGGTGGAACTCCAGAAGAGAAGGAGGCAGCCAAGTATGTCGCCAGCCTACTCGGAGGAACAGTCTCTGAGGTGCAGGAGACTAAGGAGCCAGGTGAGTCCTGAAGTTAGAGCACTGACCTGTGCAGGATAACTGCGTTCAACAGATCTATTGGAAAACAGCTATTCTCCTTTTTGTCAGCTGATTTCTGGGCTTTACTGGGTGGAAAGAAGGAGTACCAGACCTCCAAGACCCTGGAGAACACAGTCAGGGCTCCACGATTGTTTGGTTGTTCTAACAAGACTGGCAGGGTCATAGTGAGTATTTAACCTTTTGTCTATTTCAACTCATTAAAGAAAGCTACGTAGCTTTTCTATTTACAATCATGTTTTTTTCAGCCGAACACATTTTTGGTTCCTTTATACTTCCACATTGTAAACATGCACTGCTCAACTTTTAGGCAGAGGAGGTGCCAAGTGAGTTCACACAGCTGGATCTGGCTCCTGATGATGTCATGATTCTGGACTGTGGGAACCAGGTACGGCGCTACATTTCACTTTTACTGAAACTGTTCAGTCTCAGCTCTTGTAGATCTCTGTTGTCTTGCTGACTCATCCATTAATGCCTCTGGGTTATGCTCCCATCAGATCTTCATCTGGGTCGGGAAGGATGCCAATGAGACCGAGAAAACTGAATCACTCAAGATTGGTAATTTAAACAGTAAACATAATTATTAGAGGTGAGGAGACATTATAGAAGTGTTGTATTTCACAAAAGGTTTCCTTGTGTTTCCTTTTCAGCCACAGAATATCTGAGTTCTGACCCCTCTGGCCGTCAAGGCCTCCCCATCACCACCATTAAGCAGGGTGAGGAGCCCCCATCCTTTACCGGCTGGTTCCATGCCTGGGACCCCAAGATGTGGGACAAAGATATGTTGCAGTACATTCAACAGTGTATTCAAAAGAATTAGCAGAAAAACACAAATCTATAAAAGATCAAATCCTTCCTGAATCTCTTGGAGTGAGTGGAGCGCAGAGATACATGGAGCATTCAAAATTTGACATTGGATTTTGTAACACAAATAAAAGGGCTGTTATTTAAATAACACAACAAAGCCTAAAATAATAAGAATATTATGAAACAGCACAGAGACAAACACAGCCTTACTATTGCCAGCTCACAGAATTGAAAAAACATTTAGCATTATACGTTTGCGGGACAGGTTTTTGGTATTTTCTTTGACGCTTCTTTTCATCCTTTTACATATGAATCAAGACAACTGTAAAGTGTTTAATACCCAGTAATAAGTCATTATGTACTATTTTGAAATTTTACACATTTCATAGATGAGGCACTGGAACAAATGTGTAATTATGTTTCATGACAGAATTAAGGTATCCTTTTTATTAAATAAAAAAGACATGTCCCTTTTTCCAGCCTGGATTTCAATGACAAATTCTGAATTCTAATAAAAGCATCATCCCTTATTCACAAATGGACATTTCTGTTGTCATTTTAACAAGAAGATGTGCTTTTGCTGTAAAGTTGTTACGATTAGCCTAAATCCTCACTATGCATTAGCACATGCTTGATGGTAATCTCCAGGCCATGTGCACAAGACTTCTGCTGAGTTGCAGAGCTGTGGATTAAGGAGTTGGCTTTAAAAGAGCTTCCACTTACTACTGCCCCTTTATTGTCCTCCTCCATTCTCTGTTCCTGGAGCTGCAAGACAAACATTTACCAGACACAATGAACCAGAAGGTGGTACTCATCACTGGCTGCTCCTCTGGGATTGGCCTTGCTTTGGCTGTCCGGATCGCAAAAGATGAGAAGAAGAGGTTTATGGGTAAATTTGCCACATTTAAAAAAAAAAAGCCTTTGTCGAAACTTGACATAGTTGACAATGCATTTCTGAAATGGATTATGTAACTAGAATGTAAATGGACATAATAGCAAACATCTAATTAAATGGAGAGATTACATCTGAATGTATTGCACTTGTATCCAATGTGAAATGTGATAGATGATATGAAAATTATTGTGCAATTTACAGATCAGGCTAAAAATAAGACATTGTCTTATATTCTTTATCAGGTTATTATTAAATGAGTCGTACCAATTCAATACTCGAATTATTTGGAGATACTGGAGGAGGCAGTTGCTGTATTAGAGGGAAGCTCACATTGTTCAGCTGCCCTCTGTATCCCAGTATGTTTTGTACAGTTTCTTGTCTGACCCAAACTTTGACAGGGAGGAAACTTCAGACCAGTTTAATATTAATGAATATTAAAGATTCCTGCAAAATATAGACACTTTTTTAAACTTTTCATAAGCAGTAATAGAACTGTAGACAAGCATCAAAAGGAGAAGAATGACTAATCTGTTAAAAGTTCAGTTTATCCAAATATTTTCATAGCAATGGGGCATTTTTTTTAGCTTTTTGGCTTTAAAACTTATGATGGATCCAAACAACATTCTATTACCTTCACTATATGGGTGTGGCAGCAACATACATTTAGTGTAACTTGCATAATATCACCTAACTTTATAATGATAGGTGCAATTAAAGGGGAATTCCATAATTTTTCAATTTCCAGTGGAAATCTCCATTGGCTCGATGTTTATAAATGTGGAGGTGTAAAAAAACAGTAATCACAAAAACATTTGGAATCAGTAGATCTTCTCCGCTGGCAGCACAAAAGCAATGGCTACAGTGCTATGTTATGGTGCAACTGCGACAGTCCAAGGACTTGCCACTAAAAGTGCTTTTTTTCACCAATAAATAGGTCTTTGCCAAGAGTCTGGCAACGTTCCACATATCTTGCTCAATGAGATAAATCTCACTCTTAACCATGCAGCAGCTGGTTGTTCCGCCTCTGCTTATTGCCTCTCTGTCTCCTTATTCACTTTGCAACAACCCAAGTGTCAAAATTCTCGGACAGAGTCTCACCCTCAAGTCTCATGGCAGGGGTTGTTGCAGGAAGACAAAGGCGGAAATGTGAATGAGAGTTGGAGAGAGAAACTATTCTGGCTAAATCTTTTCCTGATGTGAAAATGTGGACGAAGCATTTGACTTTGATGGCTTTGTTTGAGCCAAAGTATACAGATGAAGAGCGAACAAGGAGAGAGACGCAACATTTCATGGACTGTTGCTGTTGTTACAAATTACTTTGCAGCCACTGCCGCTGCGTCACAGCTGAAAGCAGAGACGATCTACTGAACCGATTCCCAAACATTTTCTTAGTGCCATTATTGACACACCCACATAGGGCCCAGGGTGAAAAATACTTCCCTTGGTAGTTTTCATATAGAAATAGGGGTCTCTTGGCTGTCCCTTGGTTGACTTTCATTTCAGCAGCACTTTTGCTTGGAATGAATGTTGTTTGTCGTAGTCTATGCCACCATGAGGAACCTGAGTAAGGGCGAGGCGCTGGTTGAGGCAGCAGGTCGGACTCTGGGCAGGACCTTGGAGATCAAGCAACTGGACGTATGTGACGAAGATTCCATCAAAGCTTGTGTGGACAGTCTGCCTGAGCGCAGGGTGGACATCCTCAGTACGTCCACAGGAAAGCTATACGTTCAGTAACTGCTGCATTTGATGAGTATTGTTTTTGCATATATGCTTGTTTATCAAATACATGCCAACTGTACTGTACATACCTTATATGTACATTACAATTTTCTGACATGCCTGGCTCCGTCTTACAGTAAGCAATGCTGGGATGGGTCTGATTGGACCCATTGAGTGTCAATCCATTGATGAGATGAAGACTGTCATGGACACCAACTTTTTTGGGCTGGTGCGTTTGCTGAAAGAAATCCTTCCTGACATGAAGAGGAAGAAAAAAGGCCACATTGTGGTCATCAGCAGTGTCATGGGTATTCAGGGTGAGGACGGTTCCATCTGTGCATCATGAGAGCACTTGTTTATTGTAACAACACAATGTCTTAACTGTGTCTTTCTCTGTTTTTAGGAATTTTATTCAATGACATCTATGCAGCGTCCAAGTTTGCAGTGGAGGGCTTTTGTGAGAGCTTAGCAGTACAAGCCCTGAGATTTAACCTCAAGTAAGATATATTCTTATACACTGCTTCTGCAGAACATGCCCATTTCTGCTCCATAATTTCATACTGCTCGCTAAGAGAGAATCAAACTGTGCTCACAAGTTGGGCTCAACAGGTTTAGTGTGATTATTGTCCAGAGCTGACATGAAAATACCTGCAAACCAGCTCCTGTCTATGCCTGAAGCATCTGCAAGCTCATTTTGCACAACCACACCACCCCCTATTTTCTTAACAGTTGGAAATATTCCAACCAAAATTTACCATGACAAACCATAGCACACCCTGGTATGGGGCAGGTCATAACACAACAGCATTCCGTAACCAAATGTAACAGGGACTGACTCTGCAAGAAAGTTTGAAATGGGTGCAGAGCAACCAGGCCCTGTAGTTAGTGCAAAATGTTCCATTCAAGGATATTTAGCTCTGTCACTTTCTATTGCTTTTTAACTTATCATGCTAATCTACAGTTTCCTGTTGCTATGATATAAATATGTTTGTGTTATATCTCTTCTCAGTATCAGCCTGATAGAACCAGGTCCAGTGATAACAGAGTTTGAGCATAAGGTTTTCGAGGAGGGCATGAAGACTGATCTCAGCAAAGCCGACAAAGTGACAGCTGACATGTTCACCAACATCTACTTGAAGAACTACAAACAAATCTTTGAAACCCTTGGGCAGACTGCAGAGGATATAGCAGAGGTATTGTGCTGTTTCTCTGCAAACAGAATCCAACTCATTTTATATCATCTTGTCATTACCATTGAGATAAATCAATTAGCACTCCTTATACCCATGGTTTACCTTTTTATGTTTTCCACTCAGCACACTGTCAAGATCATCACAATGGAGGATCCACCTTTTCGCCACCAGACAAACACTCTTTACACCCCAATGACCACGCTCAAATATGCCGACCCCAACGGCGACCTCCCCATTGACACGTTTTACAAGATGGTGTTTGAACACGACAAGGTCTTCAATGCCAGCCTGAACTTCCTTAAACTTCTGCGCTGGAAGAGTCGAAAAAGCTTTACCTTGGAAAAAGACAAGAGCAACTAACACAAAGTTGATTTATCATCCTTGTTATTTTTCAGAGACACATTTCTGCATGTATTGTCTCCTGC